TGTAGAATGAGGGCATTCCCTTCCTGAGCTAATGTTCTAATTGGAGATGTTGTTTTTCCTTTGTTTTCAAAGAGGACCAATGATATGACAGGTGATGTCTTGACTTGCGAGTGAATTGAAGTGGGCAGAGCTGTGCAAAGTCATCAGCCTCACTCTCTCTTCCTAAGTCACTGAAGTCCGGTGGCATCAGGACGGCCCAGCATGCCACCGATGACCTTGGCATCTTCACCTCTATCTCACTAGACCGGAATGACCAGCACATTAGATATTTCAGAATCAGCGGTCTCTGTGTAGGCAGAGGATTAATTTATTAGAGCAAGAATCAAAATGAGCATCAAATTATAATAACATTTAATTCAGTTGAATTGAATAAACATTGATTAAGTGACTACTGTGTGCAAGGTGAAATGCTTCATGGCTAGAAGTTCAGCCTGACATGAATTTTGTTTTTTGCTATTTGTTGTCTGACTCTTAGTGATCCCATTTGGAATTTTCTTGGCAGATACTGGAATGGCTTGCTATTTCCCTCTCCAGCTCATTTTACAGACAAGGAGCTGGGGCAGATAGGGTGGGATGACTTGCCCAAGGTCACACAGCCCAAGTGTCTGAGGTCACATTTGAACTGGGGTCCTTCCGATTCCAGCCCTGGCGCTCTATACACTATGGCCCCCTTGCTGCCCCTGCAGTCAAGGCCCTGGAGTCAGGAAAACTCATGTCCTTCCTCAGACACTTACTAGCTGTGTGACCCTGGACAAGTCACTTAACCTCTGTCTCAATCTCCTAATCTATAAAATGAGCTCGAGAAGGAAATGGCAAACCACTCTAGTTTCTTTGCCAAGAAAACCCCAAAATGAGGTCACAAAGAGTTGGGCACAACTGAAATGACTGAAAAACAGCAAATGTTCTAAAATGGGGTCTACCCTGGGGTCTAGAGTTGGAAAGCCTATTTTTGACTCTTACCTCTTCTATTTACTGAGTGACCTTGGACAGGTAAATAACCTTTCTGGAAATTAGGTTTTCCCCCTCTGTAAAATGATGGGGTTGGATTGGTTGATCTCTGAGGTTCCATCTAACTTTACCATTCTGTTTCCTGGGTTCTAGAACTTCTTAATTCTAAGCTCTGTAGGTTGACTTATTGTACATCCTTAGTTCCTAGAAATCTTTTTGGAAAAGCCTCACCTCTGTTTCTGGGGAACTAAGGGGAAGGAGACACCTCTACAGAAGCCAAGAGGCTGTGAGGGTAAATTTGGGATCCTCAGAGGCCAAACACCAAATTTTCACAGCAAGGAAGAGGCAGACAACAGGGCTATCACAGAAATCAGCACTGAGGGTGCTGCCTGAAACAAGAGAAGAAGAAAATCAAAGCCCCATTGGGGCTGGGCCTCAGGAAAGAAGGTGTTCACCTTCCTTCTGCCCGTGGCTGTTTCTCTGTGGACTCCTCATGAATGAAAAGGCCTCCACAGGCTTTGTGCTGGCTACCCAGGAAGGGATGAGAAGACAGTGTGGGGTAATGGGTAGGGTGTGGAACTATGTGCCCCAAGAAGCTCTTCATTAGGAAGATGAGCTATAATTCTGCCTGCAACCCTTGATAGATGTGAACACCTATATTACATAGGATCATGTCACCTCTCTAACTCAGTTTCCTCATCTGCAAGCAGGAATAATACATGTTGTTGGAAGGCTCCAATGGGATATTCCATGTAAAGCACTTTATGAAGCTTCAAGTTTTCTCTAAATGCCAGCTGTGATGGTAAGGAAGAGAAAGACACTGATAATGACAATGACTAGCTTGGGGTTCAGCTACAGTTGTTATTTGCCCTTCATTTTCTTTCTTTTTTTCTTTTTTTGGGGCCAGGCAACAGGGTTAAATGACTTGCCTAAGGTCACACAGCTAGTTAAGTACCAAGTGTCTGAGGCCATATGTGAACTCAGGTCCTCCTGAATCCAGGGCCGGTCCCCCATCCATGGAGCCACCTAGCTTCCCCTCACCCTTCATTTTTAAAGAGGACCAATGATATCACGGGTGATGTCTTGACTTGCCCATGAATTAGATTTAAGTGAGGCAGAGTTGCACAAAGTTGTCAGCCTCACTCTCTCTTCCAAAGTCTGATGACTTTGATAAGTCCAGTGACAGTACAAAAGTCAAGATGACTGGAGATGTTTCAGGATGCATTGGACGACCTTGGTGTCTTTGATATCTAACCAAGAGAAAGACAAGGAGCATTGACTTGGCTTGAGTCAGGAGGCTTTATAAGTCAGGTGACATCTGTTGGGCTGTGCCTAAGGAGAGGAAGTCAGGAGAAGTACAGCCTGAAGGACTGGTTTGTCACCAGGTGACATCATATCAACAAGCATTTATTAAACTCCTACTTAGTGCTAAGCAACAGGGACGCAAAGAAAGGGGCAACAGCCACTCCCTTCAAGGATCTCACATTCTAATGGAGGAGACAACATGCAAACCACTACGTCCATACTAGATATATAGATATATACATGGTAAGTTGGAGGTGATCTCAGTGGAGAGGCATGAGAATTGGAGGAGCCCAGGAAAAGCTTCTTGAAAAAAGGTTACATGTTGAGGGAAAGCAAACGGGGATAATGTGAGCTGAGGCCGACGGGCTGAGGCCAGGGCCTTGAATGGGAAGGGAGAGAGGGAAGGAGTCAAAAGCAGAAACAGTTATGTGACAGACAGAGGGAAATTCAGTTTCACAACTGAACCTATATTTGTTAAGCATCCACTAAAAAGCACTGAGTGGTAGTGATACAAATATGAATAGTGACAGCATTTCTGCCCTGAAGGTTAGTCTTGTAGGGGGACAAGACATATACACAAATAAGCAAGATACAAGGGAGAATGTAGTAAGGACAAAAGAATAATGGAGAAAGAGTGCTATAAGAATACTTGTGCTGGGAGGAAACACTTTCAGATGGCCACCAATCTCTTACCACCCCCACTTGTGGGTGTCAGGGAAGGCTTCATGACATCTGGGCTAGACCTAAAAGGAAAAGCTTTTCAGTAGGTGGGCATTGGGAAGAAGTATGTTCCAGCTCTGCCCAAAGGGCTATAAAACTGTGCATACCTTTTGATCCAGCAATACCAGGTCTGTACCCCAGAGAGATCATAAAAAATGGAAAAGGATCCACATGTACAAAAATATTTATGGCAGCAGAATTGGAAATTGAGGGGATGCCCATCAGTTGGGGAATGGCTGAACAAGTTGTGGTATGTGAATGTAATGGAATACCATTGCGCTATAAGAAATGATGAACAGGTAGATTTCAGAAAAACCTAGGGCAGCTAGGTGGCACAATGGATACAGCACCAGCCCTGAAGTCAGGAGGACCCGAGTTCAACTCCAGCCTCAGTCCAAACACTTGACACTAACTCTGTGACCCTGGGCAAGTCACTTAACACCAATTGCCCCCCCCAAAAAAAAAAACCTGGAAAGACTTCAACTGATGCTGAGTGAAGTGAGTAGAAACAGGAGAACATTGTACACAGAAACTTTAATAGACACGGCTCTTCTCAGCAATATAATGATCTAAGACACTTCTAAAAGACTCATGATGGAAAATGCCAATCCACATCCAGAGAAAGAACAATGGAGTCTGAATGCAAATCAAAGCATACTATTTTCTCTTTTTTGTTGTTTTTTGTTTTTTCTTTCTCGTGGTTTTTCCCTTTTATTCTGATTCTTTTTTCACAACATGACTAATGTGGAAACATGTTTAATATGATCATATATGTATAGCCTATATCAATTACATGCCATCTGGGGGATGAAGAAGGAGGGAAATATTTAGAATCTTATAAAAGTGAATGTTGAAAACTAAAAAAAAGTAAATTTAAAAAAAAGTGCATTCCAGGAACAGGAGATGGCCCAAGTCATTGCCTGGATAAGAAAAAAGGATAGTTTAAGATCAGGAACAATTTAGCTGAAAGAAAGGGCACATCAGTGCCTTAATGGGCCAGGATGGCCTTGCCTATTACAGGCAGCATGGATTAGCAGAGGGGGGGCTGGCCTTGGAGCCAAGATGACCTGGGTGCTTGTCTCCCCTCTAACACATACTAGCTGTGTGACTGTGGCTAAGTCACTTACCTTCTAGAAGATTCTCCAAGACTGTGAGTTAACAGAGAAAGTGTCAACCGGCATCAGTGGAGTTTCCTTCACGCAGGCAATCCCTCCAACAGTGAAATCATATGTGGTCCATCCCTATCTCAGAGTTTCAAGTATCCTTCCTTTAGCACCCAAAGGACAAGGACTTAGGAGAGTGACTTAGAATTATGACACAAGACAGAAGCAGCATGAAGGCTAAAGAAAGGAACAAATGTGCGTGGGTCAGGATTTCTGGGTCAGGCAGGCCCACTCCAAGTGCACCAGCCTTTCCTGTCCAACAGCAGGCCCCCTCTTCCATATTGAGGTTTCAGGGGTCAAGGCACAATGGAGTCTACCAGACATGGGTGGCAGGAAGGGTGAACCTCAGAGTCACCACCCTCTTTCCTGCTGTCTTGCTCTTCCGTGCAGCTGTAAGGGAGGGCACCAGTGAAAGTTTGTAGTGTATCCTAAGCCCTTTGAAGCAACCCTGCCTGGAATCCCAGGCCTGCATCACCGACTGGGTGAGGGAAGGACCACAGTAAGATTCTGGATGGCCATGTTGGTTGACTCCACACCACACCTCCACACCTCCACCCCTCCCAAGAAAGGGCGATGCAGAGCAATTACTGACGGTGGACAGTGCTGGAGACGGAGCCTGGGACGTAACAGTCCTCGAATATATACCTTGAATAGTCCTCTGGAACCCTACACTTCCAGGGGCCACCCTATCTATCTGTGGGCCTGTCCTATCAAATGAGATACATGAAGACCCCCTCAACACAATTCCAGGATTTTAAAGAGTTTTTTATTTTTTCATTTGAATAGAGACATCCTAAGCATTTGACATCTTTTCCCCTCTAAGCTGTCATCCACAGCCCTCCCACCCGCCCTCTCCACCCCCACACAATTCCTCATCTGAACACTGACCAGTTATTGCTTTACTTACTATTCCACCCATGGTGTAAAATGTCAAGTCTGTGTGCATTGTGTTTTACATGTTATGGGTTATTAACGTTATGGCATTGTTATGTAATTAAGTGTTAACATTATTGCTTTATTATGCAATTAAGTGGTGACATTGTGTTTTGCCGTGAGCATTCTAACTACCATATGGGCTAAAATAACACTTTGGCTGCCGTTTCACCGAAGCACTGGTAAGCACCGGTAAGCACCAGCAGGACCGGGCTCGTGGAGGACTCCTGCTGACCATGTGCTTTGCATGATGGAGGCAGACAAAGCAGTCTGTGCATCATGTGGTACATGCCAACAACCCTGAAGAGATAAAAGTGGGATGATGATATGGCCAGGAACTTATTAGACCTCTCGCTGAGGAAGAGGATAGGGTGAAGAGGCTGAACCCAGTCCTAGCCACAGAAGGCTGGCCCAAGGCATGTGTTAGTAGGAAACACAATGCCTGGCCTAGGGGCATAGGCCAGGGATGACGTTACAATTCTACGTGTGCTGTACCAAATCTCTGGAAAGGAGCCGTGTCAGTACTGGATAGGACATACCACTAAAGCAGAATCATAGATTTAGAACCGGGAGGCTTGAGATCATCTAAGCAACCCCTTCACTGGACAGATGAGTAAACTGAGGCCCAGAGAGGGCGGCTGACTTGTTGGAGGTCACATATGTGGGTAATAAGTAGCAGTTTGACCCCTTCATTCAGAGCCCTTTCCACAGAACCCAGTGACAGTGGCAGAGGGCTGGTGTGGAGAAACTGAGGCGACCAAGGAAAGCTTCAGGAGTCAGCATCTGATCTCAGAGGCCCCTGGAAACTGCAGAAGCCTGAGCCCAGTGTGGGACTGCTTAAAGCAATTTGGCAAAGCAGAGCAGGGAGAGCAAACTGGCTATGACAAGACAGACAAACAGAAACAGCCATGAGGAGAAACACATTCAGTGGCTCCTGGATGCTTCTGGCCACAAAGGCAAACAAAGAGGCCACCCCAGGGTGCCCCAGATTCAAAGAAGGAACTCACCAGGGGTATGCTGAAAAAAGAACCACCAGGAGTAAACAGAGACAAGCAGGACAGCTGTGGAGGCAGAGACCACGCTCTCAGTATACGCTTAAAGAAAAAACACAGCTTTCTGTACAATCCTCTTTTTCTTTTCCGCGCATCTCATTTAGTGTGGTTAAGTTCAGAATTATAAGAAACTCTACTGGAAAATGGAACTGCTCCTCCCAGAGAGACAAAGGAACGTGGGAGCGGGGGTCAGAGATGCTCCTTGCATGAGCAGCAGCGCAGAGAGCAGTGGGCTGCGGGCGGCCGGGGAGGCTGCGCTGGATTGTTACCACTGTGGACCAGATGGACACATGAGCACTGCTCGGGCCTGAGAGAGGAGGCTCAGGTTGGCCTACTAGAAGCCCAATGCCAATAGACCAGCAGGAGTAAAAAAGGACACTCACCAGCTGCCTGCCAGACTTTCTTGATGCAGTGCTCGAAGGCCCTGCCAAAACCCAGAGCAGTCAGCTACCATAAAAGATAGAACTGGGTTAGGAGAGAGCTTTTTCCCAGGACAGGAAGGTCTTCAACAAATCTGATCCCAGGAAAAGGTGGGCTGAGGGCCTCGGCAGCTGCTGGGCCAGGATGATTCCACCAACATGTGGGGAGACTTCTCTGAGGCCAACACACCCTAAATGCCCTTTGACTTTCCCTGAACCTGGACCTCCCAATGTAGTGCAGTTTTTGAGTCCTGGACATTCACCCATCTGGCTCATGTCCCCCGACTGACCAAAATCCAAGTTGGCATGAGCAGATTTTCATCTGTGTGGGTCACTTAGGCCCAGACATAACTCCTGCCTGAGCACTTCGGCTCAGCACTTGGTAGTTCATCTTAGGGAGGGGCCTTTCTGGAGACAACGAGCCTGCACTGAGTCACTTTGGAAAGTTCTCCCTCTAACTTATTACGGGGCCATTCAAACCAGTTGAGCTCATTGATCAAATGAGACAGTATTTGTGAAACACTTAACACAGTACCTGGCACCTAGGGGGCTCTACACAAAGGCTTATTTCCTCCACCCTTCCCTTCATCCATTCATATCTTCTAATTTAAACCTGATCAGGGCTGCCTTGGAAGACAACGAACTCCCCTAGCAACTGGAGGTCTTCAGATAGAGCTCAGCCAACCACTCATACGCTTGGGGTGTAGTCCCAGGGATTCTCGCTCAAGGGATTAACCTTGTAATTTATTCATTCAACAAGCAGTTATGACGGTGCCTACTATGGTCCTGACACTGCTGGGTGCTGTGGACTCCTTAATGACCTTGCACTCTAATAAATAAACACAGACTATTTACAAAGTAATGCTGGGGCACTAGCCACTGGAGGAGGGGGAATTAGGGGAAAATTACGATTAAAAATAAATCTCCCAGGAGACAGCTCTTGTGCTGAGCTTTGAAGGAAAACAGATTCCAAGAGGCAGAGCTGACCAAGGCGGGCACTCCAGAAGAGGGGGACAACCCTGTGTGTGCAAAGGCATGAGGGTGGAAGATGGAATATCTTGCACAGAAAACACAGTAGGACAATTTGGCTGGCAAGTCTAAGAAAATAGGGGGTACTTTCCCCCTAAAACTTACCTGTGGTCTATAATCATTCTCTTAGTAGAACTTCGAAGAAAGTGAGTAAAGGAAAAAGTGTTAACAAAGACAAATACCTTGAACTGAACTGAAATGCAATCAAAATGTCTACATAACACAGTAATTTTGCGTCATTATGTAGAACCGTCCACTTTTCCCTTTAGAAGAGCTCCCTGTGATTGTCTCATTTTAGGGCGGTGGCCTAGATTCAGGGGAATACGCTAAGTCTTGGGTTTCCTGTCCTTCAGGGCTCCGAGCTCTTGGGTCCGATCTCTCTCCCTCAGTTTTCTGCGCTCGCCTGGCCCACGTGGGCACCGTGTACATTTCAGAATTCGATCCACAACAGTTGGGGGAGGAGGGGCAGGGGCGGTTTTTTTTTTCCTCCAGGTAATAACAGGAAAGCCTGACGTCACTGACGGCTGTGGGGGGAAGGGAAGCGAAGACATTTTGGCTTCTTCTTTCCCGGGGTTCGGGCCTCTCCCGTGGCCCCATCCTTCAGGACCAGGCCTCCCAAAGCCCAACTTCCTCTGCCCCTGTGACTCCACACCTGCCCGACCGAGGGAGCCCAGGGCCGAGAGCTCCGACCGTAGTCAGCATGACCTGAATTCAAAGCCCGCCGCCAGCGCAAGGCAAGTCACCCAACTTCTCCTGCAGCCTCAGTTTTCCAATCTGGAAAATGGGCTTAATAACACCAGTGCCCGACTCCGGAAGCCTTCAAGTGACGTGTGATTAACAGCTCTTGGGGGGGAGCGGTCCCTGCGACACTTGCTCCGGGGCTTTCACTGAGTACCCGCCAAAAAGAAAGACTCGCGACCCCTATCTGAACAGCACCGGCCTCTGTGGGGGAAACCTGCAATCTCTTCGGAAGTGGAATGAGCGGAACGTGAGTCCTGGCCTCGGGAGGTCGGGGTTCGAATCCTCCCCAGGTACTTAAAGAGGCCCTGTAACCTAGGGCCAGTCATTGTCCCCTCGGGGCATCAGTTCTCAAAGACTCCCCCAGGGCCTCTCCCAGCCCCGAATTCCAAAACGCGAAGGCGGGATGCGACCTCCGACCCCGGAATCCAGCCGCCAGGCAGTTGCCCAGGCCAGCGCCCTCCTCTGGCTCCGCTTCTCCAGAGCAGAGGCGGATGGCGGATGACGTCACTGACGCGAGGGGCAGTTGCCAGGGAGACCTAGAGACTTCACAAGAGTCTCCCCAGACCCGCGCGCCCTCCCCTGGGCGAAACTGAGAATGGGAACCGGGAAACGTCTCGGGGCCGGGGCTGGACGGGAAAGGGATGGGAGCCGAGGAGGCTCCCTCACCGGCCTACGCTTCCCAGAGGCCTCCGCTCTGCAGCGCTGCTCGCTGTGGGACTCCATTTCCCAGAGATCTTCGCGCCGGCTCCAAGCCGACCCGAGAACTTCCTTCGGTCACGCGGGGTCCTAAAGCGCGTGTGCTGCGTGCGGCGCTGATCACATGACTTTAGCTTCAGGTACTCGCTACCCACCCCACCTTGCCCCGGATCTGTCTGTCTCTATAGCAACCGCCGACGCAACAGTGCCCCTGCTCCCTTTCCTCCGCGGGGCCAAAGGATTCATCCTGTGCCACTACCTTTAGTTACACAGGGGGCGGGGCGGAAGAGAAGCACAAATTAAAAAAATCAGACAGTCCTTGCCCTCAAGGAGCTTACACTTTATGAGAAGGAACAAATATTCACTCCATGCTCAAGGCGTACCCCTACCTTCCCCCCTGCCTTTCTTCAAGGTTCAGCTCTAGTCTCCCCTTCTCCAGGAAGCCTTCCCTGATACTCCCGGCAAACTGGGGGGGGGGGTGCTCGTTCCCCCCTCCCCATATTTTCCCAGAATACTTTGCCTGGAACTCTCCCCTTTGAGTCCGTTGTTTTCACCCCAGGAGAACCAAGGAGGGGAAAGGGCGTTTCACTCTGGTCCAGGTATCCCCAGGACCTCGTACAGTGTCCTGCAACAGTGCGTATCAATGTGTTGACTGTCTTGTGTTTATTCTGCCCCAGCCCTTAGCACAGTGCCTGGCACGTAGTAGATGCTTAATAAATGTTTATTGAATTGAATGGAAATGAAATGGAGTACAAGTTAGAACAGAAGAAACCTCAGAAATATGGGCCAGAGAGATTCAGGAGAGGATAATGTATTTAACAGATGAGGAGACTGAGGCCCAGAATGGGCAGAAACTCTCCTTCCCAGCCTTCTTTGCTGAATCTCCCTTTCCTCTTTCAAGGACTGTTCCCTACCTTAGACCCTTTTTTCTTTGGGTATGTTCTCTACTGGAGAAATCAACCTATTAGTACAAGTTTCTTTTCAACACAGATGGAGGCAACTAGATGGTGCAAGGGATAGAATGCTAGACCCAGAGTCAGAAAGATCCGAGTTTGAATTCCACCTCAGATACTACCTCTGGGTAAACATTGGGCAAGTCAAGAGTTTATATTCTCTGCCTCAGCTTTTTTTTACTGTAAAATGGGGATAATGATAGCACCTACCTCCCTAGGGCTGTTGTAAGGATAAATAGAAACCTTAAAGCATTATATAAATGCTAGTTATTTTTTAGTAATATGTACACAAATATACATGCATATATATGTTTATATACATACAATATATGTATGTGTACACATATGCTCTTACATATATACACATACAAACAAAATTTTACATACAAGATAATAGATGCAAGAAAATTTTGGGGGAAAGGCATTAGCTGCTGAGGGAATCAGGAAAGACTGATGGTAAATTGAACTTTGAAGAAAGCCAAGATCATAAGATTATAGATTTAAAGCTGTTGTTCAGCTGCTTCAGTCATGTCTGACTCTTTGTGACCCCATTTGGAGTTTTCTTGCAAAGATACTCTGGGTTTGCCATTTCCTTCTCCAGCTCATTTTATAGAGGAAACTTAGACAAACAGGGTTAAGTGACTTGTCCAGGGTCACACAGCTACTAAGTGTCTGAGGCTAGATTTGAACTCAAGCCTTCCTGACTCCAGGCCTGGTGCTCTATCCATTGCACATGTAGCTGCCCTGTGTTAAGTACTAGATACAAATATAGGAGTAAGAGGGTCTCTGCCCCCAAGGAGTTTGTCTTCTACTAGCTACTGCTTATACCAACAAATCCACAGAGCCTGGAAGGACTGTGGAAGGCCCAGGGCTTAATCAAGGTCATAGAGCAAAATGGCAATCTTACCTAGGATATAATGGTCTGATAGTGCTGTCTCCCAATGTGAAACTCACTCTCTGCAGGCTGTAACATGGCCCTCTTCCCCCTTGTTTCCACAAACCTGTTCACTTTCTCTCTCTCTCTCTCTCTCTCTCTCTCTCTCTCTCTCTCTCTCTCTCTCTCTCTCTCTCTCTCTCTCTCTCTCTCTCCCCCTTTCCCTTCCTCCCTCCCTCATCTCTTTCTGTCTTTGTCTGTGTCTCTAACTCTATCTTTCTGTCTCTCTATTTCTCTCTCTCTTTCTTTATCTCTGTCTGTCTCTCTCTGTGTCTCTCTGTCTGTCTGTCTGTCTGACTGTCTGTCTGTCTCTCTGCCCAAGGTCACACAGACAGCTGAAGTGTTAGAGGCAGGTTCTCCCTCTCCAAATACAGTTCTCTTTTCACTCTCCCCTGCTTGATTTCTCCAGGGAGCTGTCAGTCAATTCTTCATTCACAGGTAATCCTCACTGAGGAAAGGTCATTGAAAGAAGTTCAACAATAATCTAAGACCAGCTTTGCTTCAGGGAGAATTGGCTAATTTTTTGAGGTATGAGGGGGAAAAACACATACAGCTTTTTAAAACTGGGCAAGTCTAGGAAACTGGAAGGGACTTGGCACAAATTAATTCCATTTCTTAATTCCAAATTGGTTTTAAAAATTCTGATGCTGTGACCTCATTGATGTGGGTGGGTATTCCCTGCGATCACAAGCACACCTACCTACTCATTCCATGCTCCTTTGGTCACAGATTTAAAGCTAGAAAGAACGTAAAAGGACACCAAGTCCAGCATCTGCATTTTAAAGAAGAGGAAACTGAGGCACAGAGAGGTGAAGAGACTTGCCTAGGATCATAAAGCCCGGGTGTACTCGAGGCAGAATCTGAATCCAGGGCTTCCTAGCTTGGAGGCAGGCTCCCTACCGCTTATTCCATGAGATGATTCCTTACAGGCATACAAAGGACAGTGCAAGAAGGCATGGAAAATAGGAGGGAGAGGATCACAAATTAAGAGCTGTGGACTTGGAGTCAGAAAATTTGGGTTCCAGGACTCAGTCATTTATTAGCTAATAAATTTCACTTCTCAGTGACTCAGTTTCCCCATCTGTGATCCCTCCTTTCCCAAGCTCTCTCACTGCTGAGAGGTGAGTGCTATTGTTATCTTCATTTTACATTTGAGGAAACTGAGGCAAACAGAGGCAAAGAGACTTGCCCATAACTCAAGACTTCCCGATGCTTAGTTCAGCACTACTCACTGTGCTGCCTACTGGCCTAATTCTTTTACTTTGCATCACTAACTCACATAGTAAGCAGGGGATTCACACGTGTTGTTGAGCTGAATTAAGTTAAAATTCCATCTGGATCCTAGAACATCAGAACTGAATATTGAGGACCTCAGATCTGCTGTGTGTAAACCCTGAACCCCCACCCTGGGGCCCCAATCCGAGCAGAGATGACTAAGAAATCTATAGACAAAGCTTACCTTATGAACTTACTTGTGGGCCTGATTTTGTCCAGAAGCTAGAATGGAGGAAACCACTCTAGACTTAAGTGCACAGAAATGGACAATCCCTTAGTTGGGAGAGACATCTAGAGACGAATTCTGGTGATAACATGTACCATGTGGATTCTGTTTGAAATCTAAACAGAGCTGAAACCGATAAAAGGAAACAAACCTGCTATTAGTGAGGTGAATTTTACTGTGTGAAAGGAGGGTTTTGTTCCAGGGTCCAAGGCCAAAATAGATAACAATTCCCACGAATTATCGTTGAAAACATTTCTACCACACTTGCACAGGGACATAGCGATGACATAATGTATATCTGCGCTGTGCCGGGTCATGACGATAGAGCTTAATGTTGACAAGATGCCTCCTTGTCTGTTGCCCTATAAAGCAAGTGGGCACTGGTCAGTAAGGGGGGAACCCATTTTATGGATTTGGGTAATGCACGGAGGAATGCATGCACCTGCCTTGGTCGGCCCCCACCAAGGCTTGGGGAATCTTGAAGGAGTTGTACTCCTATTCTCATCCACTCCTGAGAGAAGTGTGATTAGGAGTTGGTGCTCCCATTATCAGCAACCCTTTTGAGAAGACTAGACTAGAATAAAGTAAGCTTATTTAACCCCTCTGAAGCTGTCTTCCTGTCTGTCCGGATCAAAAGTGAACCTGTACTGGAACACCTGCTAGTGTTAGGAGCCATTCTGTGTTCTCCTGCCCAACAAATGGTGCCACCTGTGGGTTTACCTGTGAAACACCTGTCTATCCTGGCCCCTCTGCCATTCATCTCATTTCTGATATCCTCAGTAAAATAGGTTGAGAGAAATCCATTCTTGCTGATACAAAGCCAGCCTAGGGAGACCTATACCTAGGAAAGAGATAGGCAGGGAAAGAGTTCCCCAAATGCTAGTGTGATTAGATCTGAGCTAATTAAAATTATTTGCTGGCATAACTCTTCCTCTCAGTAATTAGGCAGCCTGTTGGAAGCTTTGAATGAACTAATTAATACACAGGAGATAGCTTAAAGTAAAGATACAAGTAGAAATTTTAGAATTGTCATTAGCCAATTCTAATTGAAAGGAAACAGTCTTTGTGCTTTGAAACTAGTAATAAGATTCCATTTCAGCCACAGGGCAATGCGGAGACTTCCTTAGTCATTCAACTGAGTCAAACAGAGTTACCCAGGAGATCCGAATGATGATGTCCAAAGAAAAGGACATCATGGATGCATTGCACGGTGTCCCTAGGAAAGCAAATAAGAAAGGCCTCAGGAATTCAAATCAAGCAAGCTGCAGCTAGGCTTAAAACTGACCCGGAGAGCTGTGCCCAAGAGGCCTGTAACTGAAATGGGGGAAGACATTCCTTAATAAAAGGGAAGTCATTCTCTGAATCACGGTTCCTTCAAACCCAAGTAGAGATGTCCTGATAAGGAAGATGGACCTGGCGTCCTACCTGAACATCCCTTTACATGCTCTCAGCTGTAGTCTAATCTAACTCTAGCCTCTGATAGCAACAACATAAAGAGCCCTAGTCCAACTGTACAGCATCAGGGTACTGAGTCCTTCTCTGGATGCCCTAGTGCCCCATTATTGGGTCCCCATTTTGTCTGCTAGTTCCCCAGTAATAATACAGGTGTGCAATGCTTTTCGTCCATCCCCAGCCACTGTCTCCTCCAGGGTAGAAGTGCCACAGGATTCTTGGAGGCTAAACCCGTGGAATTCCAATTCTTCCGAGTCCCGCCATGCTGGAAAATTTTGGAGCACAGTCCCAGCCGGGGGGGGGGCAGGGAGAGGGAGTGATCCTTTTTCTTTGCTGGTTTTCTTTAAGGGCAAGCAAAACAGCTGGCAGTGTTGGTCTTATCATTTTACAGATGAGGAAACTGAGGTCTAAAGAACCTCAGTGACTTACCCAGAATCACACTGCTAGTGTCTGAGGCAGGATTTGAACTCCAGTCTTCCTGATTCCAGATCTGGCGCTTTATCGAGTACACCATATCGTTATGACCTTTCCGATGTAGCAAGAAGTCAGGGTCCGGAGGCCATACAGAAAACATCTACACTTCCAAGGAACAAAACTCCCACCTCTTATACCAGTCAGTACCCCAATCCATTGCAGTTCCTGTAGGGGATTGGGGATTCCCACTGAAGAAGCAAACCATTCAATGACATTAAAAATAATAGGTATTTTTATTTTGAGTACATTAGGCCTTACCCAGAGGAAGGCATTCCATTTTAATGAGGAGAGGAAAAAGCAAAGAGGGGGCAAGCCGGGGATCTAGTGACCTGGAGAGACAAGGATGTTGCAGCTGTATCCCTAAAGGGGAAAGGCTACCCAGAATGCCAGTTTAGGGTGTGATAATCCTCAGACCCAGCAGGTGGCAGAAATGAACTGACAATGTGGAGGAGAGACACCCGGTTACACTTTGACTAGGCTCTTTGTCACGCAGGTGCATCTGACTGGTTTCCTACCTATCCTATCAGAGGCAGCTCTGAGGCCAGAATCTCCCAGCCAGGAAATTCCCAGAAATGGGGAGTTTGAGAGAAGGCGTCGGTCAGGAAGGCAAGAGGAGGGCATGTTTGCAGAGCAGAGACACCCTGCCATACGAATGGGCTGGACAGCTCATGGCCACTGAAGGGATCCGTGTCAGATCATAAATGCCTCACTCCAGCTGTAGCACAGGCAACCCAAAATCAGAGCAGGTGACTGATAACCTGGGAACTGGAAAGTATTTGATGAGCTTTAGGGGTTCTCCTTGTCTCTGATGAATGAAAAAACAGATACAGACCCTTCCCTGTGTGGATTATTTCCTATTTAAACTGTGTGAGCTCCCTGAGGGCAGAGACAGTCATCTGCCTTTCTGTGTATCCCCAGAGCTTAGCATAGTGCCTGGCACATAGCAGGAGCATAATAAATGCTGGTTGACTAAATTGGAGCCTAGTTATGGGGCGTGGAGGAGGAGGGAGGGGAGGCACTTTAAATTGCAAGGTTTGTATTTTATCCGTGAGCAATAGGGCAGCTAGGTGGTGAAGTGAATAGAGCACGGGGCCAGGAAGACCTGAGTTCAAATGCGACCTCAGACACTTACTAGCTGTATAACCCTGTTTACCTCAATTTCCTCATCTGCAAAATGAGCAGGAGAAGGAAATGGCAAATCACTCCAGTACCTCTGCCAAGAAAGTCCCAAATGGGGTCACAACGAGTCAGACACAACTGAACAACAAGAACAACAACAATAATAGGAAAGGAAAAGCCACCAGCAGAGCCAGCACTCCAATGAAGTGGAATAAATTAGTAGGTGCTCAGCGCTACGCGAAACAGGTTACAGACACGCCCTCTACACATCTGTCGAGCTCTGAGTCTGGAGGCAGCAAGAGCCAAAGTAGAAGGCTCCCAGGAAAAAGGGGAGGAGGAAGTTGAGAAAGCCCTCGAGGGGGAGACCAGATCCCGGAGGCCCTGGGAATCTGGGACGATAACCAAATAATCAGTGTTCAGTATGCCAAGATAATGCTCAGACCTGGAGAGCCAATGAGGCCAGGAGTTCAGACCTCCCCAGCACTCCAGAGGGCCCTGAAGAGCCACACTCCACACTTCGGAGATCCAAGGGAGTCCAACCCCATGCTCAGAAACTGAAGGGACCCAGAGAAAGACTCATCAGCACTGACCACCTCACCAGAAGGAGGCAGAGTCTGGCCCTGGCCCCAAAGCTCTAATTCAGGAACCAAAGCTGGAGAGATGATAGACCAAACAAGAAAGCAAGATGATCAAAAATTACTGTACATCTAGAGATTCCCACCCCACTCCAAAAAAGAAAAACAGCCTAGAAGGGGAAAGCAACTCTGTAAAAACTATAAGTAAAGATTCTAAGGTAAAAGATAGATTTTTCCACAAGGTCTATTTTTAAGGGAAAAAAATCATCACAACTGTTAGACATATTAAAAAATTCTAAAAACGTGTAATGTATGACATGTGTGGCCCTTCCACCTCCAGGAAAGGATGGATTGGTGGTGTCTTCTCATGTGTCTCCATTTGAGTCCTGCTTGGTCTTTAGATTTTGTTACACTCACTTTTGATTTTTTAGTGTGTGGTTGTTCTCGCCATTTATATTGTTGTAGTTTATGTATTTGTTGTCTTGGCTTTGCTTTCTCCCCTCTGCATCAGTTCATGTAAATCTCTCCATGCTTCTCTGTATCCATCGCACACAGCATTTCTTACAGCAGTTATTCCATACCATTCATGTACCACAATTTGTTTGCCCTTACCCAATCAATGGACAACTACTTTTTTTTTCCAATTCTATTTTATCACCAAAAAAGTGCTGCTGTAAATATTTTGGGGTATATCTTATCAGTAGTTCTCTTGAGGAATAAACCCAACAATGGAGTCTCTGATCGAAGGGTATGGACATCTTAGTTTTAATAAGAAAAATAGCTATTAGTTTTAAACATATTTGTAAATTATTTATATATCTTGATATCAAACTCTTATCAGAGAAAATTAATAGAAAGATTTTCTTCCCCCATTTGACCACTTTCCTTCTTATCCTAGATGCATTAATTTTGTCTATGCAGAAGCCTTTTCAGTTTCATGTTATCTTTTGTAACTACCTCTAAAACTTTTTTTTCCCCTTCAGTTTTTAGTTGGGCAGGAAGGACTGGGGCAGGGGGAAGGGGGAAGGGGGAAGGGAGAGAAGGGAGGTCAGTAACAGTGATGCCAAAAAAGAGGACCAATGAAATATTATTATTTTAGATGCATAGAAGAGGACAGAAGAAAGTCCAGAAGGAAACACAGACAGGCAGGATAATTTGTTAAGTAACATATGGACTTTATTTTTTTAAAGTAATCAGTGTGAAAGGGAGATTAATGGTCCCATATGTGATCCTCTTTTTGCATTCTGCTGTATATATTAAACGTTCAACTGGGGGTGGGGATATTTAAATTCAGAATTTTTAAATAATCTAAACAAAAAAGAAAGTGGAGGGGGGGAGGTAGATGATGAGAAGAACAAAGTTCAGAGATGGGAGTTAGAAGTGAAGCAGAAATGGAACAAAGTTGTGTCGCTGATTCCATCTGTTATCCTCAGCAATAACAACCTACCTCAGGCCCCGATCGACTAAATGAAAAAGTAGATGTGGTAAATGAAATGACTCATCTCAGCCACATCACAGAGAAACAAGCATCCATGAGGTCAGTAGCTCCATCCCACCCACCCTGGGCCTGGGCCACCTAGTCTGTGACATTGATGAGGTCAGTAACAACTGTATTAATAATTGTGATCATCCCAGGGAGCTGCCCCTTCACTCCAGTTCCCTGCATGGGAGGCAAGGCCTTCTCCCAGGGCAGCATGCCCTGTCAAGGTACGTCAGCCCCAGCAGCACAAGAGGAATGGTAAGGTACAGACCCCCCGGAGAAGGTTCAGGATGCATCCAACGCTCTGTGGCCTGGCCTGGCTTCCCTCTGCTCTGTTTATTTGTAAAGTCCAAGTTGGTTGATGACCTCCCTGTGCATCCATTTTGGGCCCTCCAGACAAACCCCATTTTTCCTCCTCATAGGCACTGTTCCCCCCTTTTTCCTTCGGTCTTCAGAACTTTATTCTTAAACATCTCCCACCCCTCCCGGCCTGA